TCCCATTCCCCACCAGAACCTGCCGGTGATCCCCACGGCCCCCCTGAGAAGACCCCAGCCCCTGCCCCCCCTGCCCTAGCCTGCGCCCGGCGAGAGAGACGGAGAAACCTAACGCTGGCGAAAAGGAGCCGGTGCTTTTTCACGTGATGAAATTACAGAGCAAGTTCAAGGCGAAGCAAAACATTAGAGGGTGTCGGGGGAGCATGGCCGCGATCCCCGGCCTGGTCCCTGGGGACCCCCCCGAGCAGCCGGAGGGGTGCAGCAGCAGCCACCCCCCTCGGGGGTTACAGGGGCGGCGACGGGGCTGGGGTTCCTCCGGTTTATCTCCCCCGTGGCGTAAGCGCAAGCCTTGAGCGGGCTGGAGCGAAGGCAGGGATGTGCCGAGCCAAGGCTGTGGCCGTGAAAGCGTCCCAGCCGTCCCCCCAATCACAACCCCGTGCCGGAGTCTGGCTGTAAGGAGCCGAAAGCGCCTGCTGGGCTGTTGGGGATGTCCCCCAAACCGGGACCAGCTGGGTGTCACCCGGGATTGGGCTCCTCACGCCCGGGACTCGAGTGGCCGTAAGGTCAGGTAGATGGGTTTATCCGGGATCAGGATGAGATCGAACTTGGTCCCGACTTCCACCGCTCTCATGGTTTCGATCTTGAAGTTCTCCAGGATCTGGGATGGGGGAGAAAAGAGCAGATGGAAAACGCTGGGGGGTACCAACCCCCACGTGCCACCTCCCCGGTCCCTTCCAGCGCCAAGTCCCCGGCGTCCCCAGCAGCGGGATGCTCACGTGCATGAGGAAGAGCTGCATCTCCAGCTCGGCGATCCGGCGCCCCAGGCACTGGCGGGGTCCAAAACCAAAACCCAGCCCCTTGAAGTGCTTGGGACCGGGCTGGGGGCTGAACTGCTCCGGCTTGGGGAAGACCTTGGCATCCCGGCCCATGGCGTAGAGACCGACCTGCACCAACGTCTGCAGGGAAGGATCAGCCCTGTGGGTCTGGGCTCCCCACGGGGCTTCGCCAGCACTCAGGGTACAGGAAGGGGGTGCAGGGCTGGGATCCAGCCCCGGCTGAGCCCCAAGGGCTGCTCCCCCCACGTCACCCACCCGTGCTCCAGGTCCCACCTCCGTCCAGAGCCCCGTGCAAAGCGGGTCAGGGTGAGGAGGGAGCCGGTGGCCATGCTCACCTTGGGAGGGATGCGGTAGTCCTGGAGGATGACCTCTTGCATGGTGTACCTCTGCAGGGTCACCGCCACGGGGTGCAGCCTGGGGGGGGAGGACAGGTCCCACGGACCTGATTTTGGGGACAGCCTGGCCCGCCCACGTGCTACCTTGGTCACCGATGTC